TTAGTTTTCCTCTGATAAAACAGTGCAATGGTATTGCTAGCGTCACATTAACTTAATGTGAGTGACATATATCAGTGTATAACCATGATGTGAGCCTTTTGGTTTTCATTGTGTGTGTGTGTGTGTGTGTGTGTGAGAGAGAGAGAGAGAGACAGAGAGATTCAGAACAGTTATATTTTATTTTTACAAAAACAGACCAGTTTATTTTTTAACTAGTAAGTTCATATCCGGTGGCTTAAATTGCATTGTTAACAAATGTCTCCATATTTTGTTGTCCTTTTGCTAGGGAAAATCCTGTAAGCTAGAAATTAGCAACAAACAGTTGAGTAATTGACAAAAAGTGTGCAGACATAATCCCACTTTAGTAGAGTTCGAGAGTGTGTGAAATGTGCTGTATCCAAGCTCTGTAAAAATGAAAGGATTCACAGGAGGCCTTTTGATTTATTTAAGTAAAGCAAATGTTTTTACTGTATATTGATAGACAAAGTAGAGAAAGACTTCTTTACAATTAAAAAACATATTTTGCACATTTCAAACCTGTGACACCTTAAGTTTATTGACTGCTATGCAATAAAATGTATCTTTAATAAGCTGTAGTATGCTCTCTTCTCCACAATTGTGTATTCGCTTTGTGCTCTCTTCTCCACAATTGTGTATTCGCTTTGTCCATCTTAGTGTAAATGGACACAGGAGCTCATGGAGCACTGTCCCCACCTCTGGCCCAGCGTCTGTGCTCAGCTTCACTAAGTTCATACTTGTCAGTGTCAGAAAAGGAACGTCCCCTCAGGCAACACGTGCACGCCAAAGAGAAGGTGATGTATAAACCTGAGAGATTAGCTCGTTGTGAGATATAAAGTGGCAGGGAGATGTTCACACACTCTCTGCGTTCACAAAAAATTTAAGTGAAAACAAAGAAAATTAGGGATTTGTTGAGTAGAGATTCAGAATAAGCCGCTTCGGTGGTAGAGTCAGGGGCTTGAGAACAGGCAGGACGTCTTCACCAAGGACAGCCCGTTTAGTCCTGATAGCTGTTGCAGTTCCTAAACACCTTTTCTCTGGAAAAGTACATCAGGTTTCCTTTTCTAGACTTCTGGGGACCATTCTTTTCCTTTTCCACATGACACAGAACGTATGTTAAGCACAACCTGCATCTCTATGTGTTGAAGAAATGAGAACCAAT